TGCCGTGAGTTTAGTTTATTTTGCCGTGGCTTTCTTTATTCTGCCGTGAATTAAGTTTATTTTGCCGTGAATTTATTGCCTTTTGCCGTGAGTTTAATTTGTTTTGCCGTGAGTTTAGTTTGTTTTGCCGTGAGTTTAGTTTGTTTTGCCGTGAGTTTAGTTTGTTTTGCCGTGAGTTTAGTTTGTTTTGCCGTGAGTTTTTGTTTTGCCGTGAGACTTGTGGGCCACCGTAGTCTTCGCTATGGCTAGAAAAAGAGAAAGGTCAAATAAATCACAGCACATGATGGGCAGCAAGCGCAGACAAGTACCGATCAATGACATCATATTTCTGGGAATCCCCGGTTTTTGTTGCTTTCCTGTCCGAATTGAAAAATACTTAGGCTTCTCAAAGATGAAATCACTTTTGTTGGCTGTTTTATTAATTTTAGGTGCTAATTGCATCTCAAAACTAGCAGGATACGACTCATCTGAGAAATCAGAAGCACCAGCAATCAGAAAATATAATTGTGATGCAGTACAAGATAAAAAGCCTTGGTGTGCTTGTCGCTCGTCGCTCTCGTCCACCATCATAGATCTGTCTTCCCTGGGAACAGGGGATAAAAACTTGAATGCATCGATTCATCCACCCAAGTAAGTAGATTACTTAACATGAAATTAGGAATATTATTAAAGCTATAGCTACTAGTAGCGTCATTTACGAATTTTGAATGTGCTTAGCTATGACGTAGTATCTAGAGCTAGCTTTTTATGGTCTTTGAATGGGAAAAAATGAGTCCACATCTTTTATGCCATTAAAATTTTCATTATTTATCAATAAGCCACAAAAATGTTTTATTTATATTGACTTGTGTTTTTATAGTTGAATTTTCTAATTAAGATATTCATAAGTTGATCAACTCAAACTCGCGCTGCTAGTCTATTAAACTTGAACTCTATCTAAAACAGAGGGCACGGTGTTTTGGCAAAATCCCAAGCCGTGCCTAATATATATATTTAGGCACTGCCTAAAAGCGATTATTTTTTATTCGAAATGATGACAATTTCTCCCATAATAAAAACCATGCAGTGAAATCGAATCGAAATGCACTACATCGTTTTTGTTTTTGTTTTTGTTTTTTTTTTTGCGCGACTATAGTTAGCAATTTTGTACACAACTCACCACCACCCCAGGGGCTAGTTTTGTTCTTGGAAGATTCTTCGACAAAGTTTTCCAAGGCCGACAGTTTTAGGCTTTGAATCTCTTTTACTTAAAAAAAACGAATCTAACTACAGATAATCCAATAAAATATCAAGTTTAGTGAAATTTACCTCGGATGTCTTTCATCGAAATCGAAAATCTGGAGATTTAGGACAAATCAAGACCAAAAAACAGACTTGAAAACTGGTCTTGAAAAATAAAAAATGAGGTTTACTTAAAAAAACAGAGCTTTTACATTCATTTAAACTTAACAAGAACAACTGAGACAAAATAAAAAATAATGCAAAAGGCAATGGAAAATACAAAATGACTCATTTCTTTGGCAGTAAATTGGCGTTTGTAAATGTTTTTGAATATTTTTTAGCTTTTTAAAGTGAAAGTCTAGTAGGTCTTTATACAATAACATCTCTCAACAACACAAATTTAAGCTCATTTTTATAACCATACTTGCTCGAACAGCTTAATAAACAGTTGAATATTTGGTAAAGATTTATATTTCATTCAATGATTAAATAAATTATCTGTAGAAAGATATAGAGGATATTACATGGGCGCGCGGAGATACGAAATTTATCTTCGAGTGTTGGAAAGATCTCTCACGAGTGAGCGTAGCGAACGAGTGAGAGATTTTTAACACGAGAAGATAAATTTCGTATCTCCAAGCGCCCATGTAATATTCTGTTTATTATATAATTATCAATGAAGTATGTTTTGGCTTTTTCAGGCAATTCTTTCCGTGTATTTTTGAATAGCCATCGCAATGGTGTTATTTTCACACGTGAAAATAACATGTTATTTTCACGTGTGAAGATATCAATTTTTCGAAATAGAGAAAAATAGATATTTCATTGGTAATCATATAATAAATAAAATTATTGATTGAAAGTCTTCTTTGTTTTGCCGACAAAGCTTCATTTTCTTGAACGAAAAACATTCGATAGTTGGTGAAAAACAACCGAATTGTTAAAGATTTACAAAGCTAAATAAAGGACGAATATTTGTTGTAATATGCTCTTCGTGTTATATTTCCTCTAGCATTAAAATAAATTAAGCTTATCTATAGAAGTATATTTAAAAAGTTTTGAGAGAAAGTCGTTGATTTGTCGATTCGTCGAAATAATAATATGCGATTGTTTGCTAAAAAACACACACCTGAATTCTTGAAGAACACTTCTTGATCCATCTTTGACTACCTGAAAGTATTTCTCTTAATTGTTTTTGGTCTATAACTTGTCCTAAAGCGATTTTTTCTGTGCATTTGAGAGCCGCATTTGTGAGTAGTTTTGCTTTGACATCAAGCGGGATTCCTGTGTTGTGTACACGGACAGACGGACGGAAGTGACGTCAGCCAAGCCATGAAAAATCAACTCGATGGTTTACCATTTTTTCTTAGTATGGGGCTCCGCGCGGGAGCTCCGCTATAATTAGGCCATTTCCGAGATGTCGTGACAAGGGACGGATCCAATCTCGTACCCCGGCCCATGTTTGTCATGGTCAGCACCGGAAACGAGAGGTTCTGGCACAGGTAGCCCAAGCTTGGTTTCTGTGGTGTCATGTTACAAGGAAATGTATGGGGATTCATCAAAAATTTCAATAAAATCATTGAAGCAAGAAATAAAGCCTCGATATTTTACCCGATCATCGAGAAATAACACTTCTTTTGCTCTGTGTGGTTATTTATTGAATTTAGCACATTTTAAGGATTTTTTACTGGTGGGGGAAAAATCCTTAAAACGGGCTAAATTAAAAAAATAACCACTTGGAACTTGAGTGAATTTGCATACCCTGTTAATGACAAGAAGCTCGAAAAACCATACCCTGTTCAGCGGATCATCCCCGTATAGTCTATATGTGGGAGTACCCCCATGCCAGGAGTAAAACACATTGCATTAGCCAAATTGGTCCATTAAGGCAACACTGAGTCTGCATCAGTAGCTGGCTGTTCGTTGGCATTAACATATTGAAGAAATATCAATATCCGTTCGTGCTCCTGGGAAGTAAAATTGTGATCGAATTGGTATTTTCTGAAAAAATTCGACCTCAAGCATGAGCAGAGTGTACCGAGAGTAAAGAGGATTGATCAGCTTCCTCCCTTGTCATTTATTTTAGGGATTCATAAGCTGGAAAAAAACTGTCGAAATCGCCTGAAATTCAGCACATAGATGTTAGTAAATTTTAATCTTAAATTTCTATATAAAATATGATTTTAAAAAATCCCCATACATCTCTCAAGAAATACAGAGCRTAAGGCTGCTTGTGAATCTCCTTACCCAAAATCCTTGTGAAAATAATTAGCTTGGCGGCATAAAATCAGAACTGTTGCTTGGAAACAGTGAAATCATACTGTTCCATTAATTTGATTATTATTACTAGTATATTTATTTATATTAATATTTTTAGGTTCAGGTCTATAAATGGGGTTCAAGGATGGTTCATTGCCTGGTCACCATGTGAGGACTTTGATCTCTTCACAAATATGACTCTAAATCCTGATGAAAAGGCTTGCAAGGGCGTAGGGGTGAGTATAAAGAACAGATAATGTAGGAAAACAAATGTAGGCTTCTTAAGCCTGGCTCACACTACTAGCGTCAGAATTGGAGTTAACAGCAACATAAACAGTACTGTACCTTACTGCAGTTTTCAATATTCTGCAAACTCAGACACTTCAACAGCTTGTTGTGAAATTGAACTCCTGTGTGCTCTACCACTGCCAGTCAAAAATATAAAAGGTAGCAACAGATTATTTTTGATTGACAGCAGCCATAAACCTAATTTTAGCATGCAGCTTGCAACTATCGGGTTCACAGAATATAAAAAAACACAGTAGCAGTGCTTGTCTTTTTTACGCTTAATTGATAAATCATGCAATACTCAGTTTGCATCCGTTGCTTCAAATTTCGATTCCATCTCATGATTATTGCGCAAACCAGGCTTCATAATGTGACTCTATACATAGTCCAGCTTTGGAAGTGAGTTCAGCTAAGGTAGCTTGATTTAGGTATGTATTTCCATCTAATGTATATGATTATAGATATTATGATTTTGATTTCAGTTTGCTCGTTACTACACAGCTGGCAAGATTTGTAAAGGGTATGAATCCCATGAAAACTCTGCCAAATTTTACAGTTATGGCCATGATGTGAAGACTGGTAAAGAGAAATTTTACATTGAATTTCATTTTACCACTAAAGTTGAAGTAAGGTATGTTTAAAAATAAACTACACCTTTTTACATGGAAAAGATAAAAGTTYAACTAGTATAACTTTTACCAAATATATAGTCAAACTTTTTATATTATATTGTTAACTGATATTTTTTTCTTTTTTCTTTTCCTTTTTGTGAGCAGAACCGCTAGAATCTGGCTGATGTGCACTCAAGATAGTGACAAAAATATTTTAGAATATAATGGTGACCGTGCAGGAACAGAGGTAATTTCTGCTTGAAGTATTATGTAGGCCTCTTTAGCTTTGGATGGTGTAATGTTTTGTCCATTTTGGYATGAAACCAAATGGGACAATCACTATGCCCAAGTTACAGTAGAGGTAACTTACCATTCATTTCTTTTCTTTTTATTTTTTTTCCTCTYGTATATCACATTTACAGTGCAACTACACCAACCAAGGCCACCCAGATAATTTTTTTGTACAAATTAGCCAATTACATTTGAATATTTTAATAAGCAATAGAATCTACACTGCAACTTTTCACACATTTTTTCCCTTTATCAAAAGCATTAAAAATATTATTTATATTTTGCTTTATTAAACCTGTGTATATATATGAGGAAATAAAAAGAAACAGTTTAGAATTCAGAATTCGTCACCATCCTTTTATAATCAGTGTCAAAAATGGCTCACCAAGATATGAGCTAAGCATATAGAGTTGTTTGGTGTCCCATGCTGACGCAAGAGAATATATCTATCAGAGAATACATTTGGTGCCTAATGACCAGATGGGAACTTCATAGAAAGAGCTACTTTGGTGCCTTGCAACACCAACAAGTAACAGCTCAAAAATGTGATTTGTGAATTTGATTTAAAATTTGGTTGGTTGGCTTTGGTTAGAGCGAAGGCATTTAACCCGTGAAATAAAAAATACTAGTCAACGTGTAATAGTCAAAAAGACACAAAAGAAAACAATGGAATTAGGGTCTACTAATGTGTATTAGTCTAATATCTATTTCACAGGTTTAATGACTTCACTCTAATGTAGTCACACACTGTAACAAACTAAATTGATAAAACTGACTGTTATGTTTTGAAGCCAATTGGTATATTACTTATTAGGTTGCACATTTTTACTCCAAATGCTGCTGCCCAAATAATTTGTGTGGTAAAAGCCGAAATGATCCACCCAAAAGTAAGTATATGAATGTTTACAAAATGAGGTTCATCTTGTGCCTACTCAAGTTTAAGCCTACTCTAGCCACTAAGGTCAAAAAGCAGAAAAAACAACTTGCTTTTTCATACAGCACTGTCTAAGAATATTTTGTCAGATTATAGAAAGGTAGTCAACGCTAATAAATGATAAAAAACCAGATGGGCGAAATGGATGCGCAGTAGCGCATCTACCTTAAGATACTACCAAAATCTACAACATATATGATCTTGTGTATCTTTTCTTAAATTACTTTTGAGAAAAAACTCAGAAAAAAATTCACTTATATTTTCAACATTTTGGAAAATTTTTATATGAAATAAAATGAAATTAACAGAAGTAATTATACTCAAGTTGTATAAAATATTTAATATGATTTGTCAATCTCATAACAGGATACAAACTTGGTACAGGAGCGATAGCAGGTATATCAGTTGCTGTTGTTGCAGTCATAGCGATTATAGCGATAGTAATGTACAAAAGAAAACRACATCCTTTTCCAATTCCTGTAGAAATAGTTGCCCAGGAGCAGGACGAAAGACATCCCCTAGTAGGTTGAAGAAAGGCTTGCCTGTGTGTAGCCCAACTAACTAACTGTTAAGTCCTATACGAGAGAAAAGTCCAGCTGTACACAGGGTAAAGAAAGACTAGCCTGTGTGCAGCCGAACTAACTAACTGTTAAGTCCTATACAAGAGAAAAGTCGGGCTGTACGCAGGCTAAAGAAAGGTAGGGTTACAAGTATCTTGATGATTATGCAACATAAATTACTCCAACAAGGTTTTACAAATATCTGAGCATAAATTGATCAGTACAATAATATCCTGATAATATGGTAGCAAGGGGTGAATCTAGGACACTCTACAGGGAATTCAGTATTGTAATTTATAAAATTGTGGCAATCATTTTTACCTGTATAGAACGAGACGCTTACAACACAAGGTGACTTGCAATGTAACAAGTAATCAAAAATGACACCACTTAGTCATAGTTTGAGGGAATTGTATAATTTAACATCATAAATAATAGACACAAGTTTTTAAATCAAAGGCTAAAGGGGCTTTTCTGAAAAACTTTTAAGGATGGGTATACATAACAATATTTTTTAAAATTATAATTGCTAACCAGAAATCCATTAGACAAACTAATGAGGTTTGGCGACGAAATCTATTGTTAAAATGAATGGAACATTGACATCACAATGGCAATGTTTACAAACATTAYGTCCACCAAAACTTGTAAATTATTGTAAATTATTGTAACTTTGTACTAAATTGGTTATGCAAAAAAAAAAAAAAAAATTAGAAATAGGAATTTTTTATGAATGCAAGTCCTTTTATAATATGCAATGACATTTTAAACAAAATGTGAAGAATGTAAACACTATAACAATGAAACAGTACAAGTCTATGTGATTAGTAGCACTATTAAGTACTAAATAGCACTAGTTGCTGTGACGTAAGCTATTGTCATTACTGTGCCAACCAGAGATCGATTGGCAATAGACATAGCCCTATTTTATGTACTATTAAGTGCAAAATAATCTTAGTACTGGCTCACGAAATAAGTATTTGCACTTTAAACTAACTTTCTTCCTTTTATATATACTGTAGTTTTTTACTAGTTTTAATGTCATAGCTGCATAAATAAATATGCAGGATAAGGGGAATAAAAGATTTCATCAAACTGATAAGACAAACTGCAATTCTTGTTTACTCACACTATTTTGGTGTAGCAAAAAACTATCATTGATCATTGTGTAGTATTGTTTTACTATTGTTCCACACTCTAGTAAAGGCAGGAGAGAACCTCCCAAGGAAGGTGGTGTGTCTAGTATCTATAGACCCCTAGCAGTGACATCATAAGTAAATGTCAATTTGGAGGACAAGTGTGACCAGCGCAGGACGTCCTAAAATTTTAGTCAAAAATATTGTCAAATAAGCGTACTGTAACTAAAATTATGTCTAATCAAACTATTCCAAGGTATCTTAGTATTAAAACAACCAATGTTTGGACTTCCCAGATTTTTTGATCTAATTATTTATTGAAATATCACATGTACAGTGATCAAAAGCCGAAAGCTCGTAATTATCATTAGRGAATATTATGTAAATCTTATATTACCCAATATGAAATGTTTGCTACAAACACAATGTTGAGTGTTGTCATCCATACGAAAATCTATTGTTTTGATGCATTTAAGCCATAATTCATGCCACTTTTGGCAAGTAATTTGCTTTTCTTTGCCAGCAAGTTTCTTCATGGTTCTTTTAAGGACCATAAAAACGATAAAAGCTGAGATGTGCATCCTTATTTGAGTGGCTTCCACCATTGAACCATTCTCAAAAATTATTCATTTTATCTACAGTTCTACTGAGTTTACAGTGTAAACAAAGCTATGTCTGTCCTCCAAATTGAACTCCATTACGTCACATGATAGGGGTATAGACTAAACGTTGGGGGGCTGATACTCGAAGATTTAATATCTACTCTAGATACTAGAGTAGGATCCCTCTCTCGGATCCCTTTCTCTCCCATTTTTTTAAATCTTTACATAACATATTTTGTTACAAGGCATTGCTGCTGCCRTTGGTACTGAGACTACTGCAGATAAACACTACGGTTTTCTATCAAAGCTTTCAATGCAACAACCTGTGTTTTATAAATGAGAAAACAGCAGCAATAATTTCTGCAGTTCTAAAGAACAAAGCCATAAAAAAGCTGACCTGTGATAATGGATCCTGACAAGATAGCATTCATGACACTCCCCAGTCCATCCTCCCTYACAGCTCTGCATTTTTCACTTGTCACATCTTGCATGCTTGACCTTCAGGCATCTAATGTGATTGCCTGACCACAAGGTCACTATATATTTCTACAAGAAGCCAGTGATACTCACCACTAAATCTAAATCAATTAAATTTTTCTTAAATATTACAAAGAATAAGAGAATTGAAATAATACCAAATGAAAAAAAAAAAGTGTCTATCATGTCCACTTATTTTGACAGAGTATAAGATGCCCTATTGATGAAAATACTAATACTCATTGCCATTATTATCATTTATTTTCACAAATCAAAAACGCCTTATTACAATGAAATCTCAGAGCCATGAAATACAAAACAAGATGCAGAAAATCCTATTTGTATTCAAACACACATCAAAACGACTGTATAAGTTTACAGCAAACAAGATTGTCCAATATTTATCATCATCTTAAATCTTGACCTAGCTTAGTGTTCTTGAGTTGGTTTTTCACGAGTCAACATCAATATAATTCCTGGACCAAGAAGAGAACAAGAAATGCACACGAAGGCTGTGACTTGATGAGCAGTGCTCTGGAAAATAAATAAAAGTTAAATTTGAGCTTGGAACGAATAGCCAAGGTAGTTTCGCTATGTTATTAGAGCAGTTTTCATACGAATGTGAAAAACATAGCACGAACACAGTTGAGACAGCAAGGGATATGCCAGACCAATCACATTGCTCAAGAACCTGCTCTCCAGCCCATTTAATACCCAGAACATGGCATAAACATGGTGCAGACATGGTCACGCCAAGGTCATGGCACTGTTAGATGAATCACAAAGTGCAAGAAAATAATCAAATTCTAGAAAATATCACGGTTACAACATGGCAAGCTTATGGCACCAAGCTTTCCACAGTCATACAAAAACTGCTCTGAGATAAAATACATAAGTAAATCAACTTGATTTAGAGACGGTAATGCATGACGGCTGACACTAATAAATTAGGAGCCCTCTATTTTTATGGTCCCTGAATGAAACTTTACATAGTCATCTGAGCCATGGCATAGGCCTAACCATTTGCAGATATTTCTATAGCAAAGGCAGGACYTTAAGAATGTTGGTCTAGCTAGGGCTTCAACCCACGTTCCCCCCACATGTACAATAGGCTGATGCTCAACCAACTATTAAGCCAACCGAGAGGTAGGAGCAAAATGAATAGCGAAGATAACGCAGAAATTGTGAAAAAAAAAMCATATTAAATCTTTTAAAATGTTTTTACAACTTCCAGGCCTTCTGAAATAAAAATCTTCTAATTTTCTATGTAACCTGCATTTGCCCTTTTGTATGTGTCCTCTTTTTTCACAACTGCCTGGTCTTTATAAAGTTTTTACACAATTTAGCCTCTARCTATAACGTTTTGAACGTTATAGAGTATCGATCTATCTAACTTTATCTAATAAGACATCTATTAAAAACTGGAGATAAAAAAATAAGCCATTTTATAGCTAAAGCAGGGCAAGAGATATGCTGCACAAAAACTTACCACTGGTTTACCACCTTCTCCAATTTGTTCTGGCATTCGACCTGTTGTCATGTTTCGCCTAAAAAGTGTCGTCCTAGCTATTCTTAAAGCTTGTCCCCACATTTTCCTGCTTGAATTTTAAGGAAGACGTAAAATAAAGGTCACAAATTGGGTGAATTCGGGTGAATTATAGTTAACTTGAACTTCAACAATTCTTGTCCAAGATGGCGTCTTGTGAAAACTCACCTCAGCCTCTCACGGCCAACAAAGTCCCCGCACTAGGCTCTTTCGTCCTGATATATCACAGGTAAACCAGCAAGCTTGTTTAAAATTAAATTTTTCATTATTATATTAACAAAATGCCAAAGCGAAACTAAAAGCAAGCGATTCTTATAACCACATTCCAAAGCTGACTTTCAGTCAACTTCTGCCAATCAAATCCTCGATGGTGGGTGTGGAACTGCCATACACAGGCATTGCTCCCCTATATTACGAGCACTCCCAGCTTCTTGCAGATAATGAATTTTGTTGACTTAGGGCTCGATCACACTAGGTCCATTTTAGATCGATCTAGTTTGGATAGATCCGAGCTCGATCCGACCCCAGTTTCCTAGAGCGTTTGATAAGCGACCATATACGTAAAAAACACAGGTAGTCTTCAGTAGAGTATACTGTATGCTGATGAAAAAAATGAAGTGCGATAGTGCAGAATATACACGATCAACATAAAAGGGTGTATTTTACCATGATTTACGTTCCGTTTACTTTTACTTAACGCGTACGTACCACATGGAAAGGAATGAGTATGCGTTCGCAGCCATCAGCGTCACAATCAAGATTTTTGAGTTTGCTGGTAATAGCAAGGGGTTAATCATCTACGGTCTAGGGGCCGACTAACCTCTCCCTTAAGCTTTGGCTGTACGTTTCATGTATGTCTATATACACCTAATTGAAAAAACGTCGGGTTCAAAAAAAGCTTTTATCATCAAAGCTAAGACCGAAGGGGAGCATGGGAAGGCAAACAATTATGCTAATTTCATGCGTGTTGCAGTTTTCCCTTCCTGTGCACATTTTATGCATCACGGCTTTGGCATGTTGTTATTCTAGGTCGACCGACTTTGCYCTACTGTGCATTCTTACATGTCTATATGCAAATATAATACACATTTCGGAGTACCCAAAATCCTTTTCGGTCTTAGCTTCGATGATATGACTTTCTCGAACCCGACTACGTTTTTTCAATTAGGTGTATACATACAATAGATGTCTATTGACTGTTTAGTGTCTATTTGTGTATATTATCGATGGAAGGGTCCATTGACACGCATGCTTTGGACCGCTCACACTTGTGTGTAGGACCCCTGAAAGACGAAATGTCTGAATGAAAGAGAAACTAAAGTCAGAGACAATATATATATTTTTTAATTTAAACAGATTAAGAGTTGAAATGTAAACATTTACGTACATACGAGAGCGCGAATTTAAAAATAATAATTTCTTATGTATTTTATAAAATATTACTTTGAAGTTATTTTCATATATTGGGCAGCTAGCAATGCAATGTTTTTCATTCATCTTTTACAGTTTCCGACCAAACAGCGATCTCTCGTATAGCTAACCACCGGGGTTTCCCCACCTCATCTCTTCGTAAACCTGTTACTTCAATTTTCAAGCACTGACAAAGAGTTCCTTCAGGTTCTTTACTATGAACCTTTAGTTGCGGCATCTCATGAAACTCCTTCCAAAGGATAAATTCTTTACACTCCCCTGCGCCATTTTGCGTACTGTAAAGTACTTTTGCAGCGCCAAAGTAATCCTCGGGAGCACGAGCCCCTCCCGACTCCACAATCATTTGTTTCACCCGCACAGGTCTGTGGAATTCAATGAGAACGTAGTCTCCCTTTTTGATATTCTTTCCCCAGAACATACCATGACGATAAGTATCATACGCAGACATGATTTTATATCCGCGCACGTGATCACGTATCGAGGTAGTGACGTCAGCATCGGGATTATTGTTATCATTATAAATACGACGACCAACTTTAATGTCTTCAAGCTTGCGCACTTGTCCATCGAGGGAGGAGAAAGTGCCAATATGGCGGAAGAGTGGTGGTCTGTGCCTTGGCCACTGGGGATTTCCATTGAGGTTGAAGTCGTTGTATTGACGGAACAGAAGATCGACGGGGTATACCCAGTAGTACATCTTAACAAAAGCCGACAAGTGACCCAAATCAGAAGTGCGGTACAGCATACCAATGAATCCTCGCGCCCCAAACTCTAATATCGACCACCTTCGCTCCTGATGCTTTTTTATGAAGTCTTTGATTTTTTTGAGGTAGCCTTTACTTGTCGTTACATCGTCTTCTATTTGTAGGTAGTATTGACCCAATTCTTTACAATAATTCATGAGGAATGAATAGTCTAGAGACTGCTTTGATCGCCAGCGTATTCTTTCGGGCTTGTCTCCCCAGAGACGAGGTAGCTTGTYAAGTTTTGGATAAAAAGAAGTTGGTGCCTTGATGACGCGAATCAATCCCGTTTGTAACTCCCTGGGAAAATCCTTGCTAATTTGATCGGAAACGCTCAAAACAGAATTTGGATCGAGGTCAGCTGCTAAGACGACAATAATGACCTCCTCCTTCTCCGATTCATCCAGACCATTTACTAGATCTTTTAATGTTAGTGTTAAGTAGGAGGCTCTTGTTCGATGTATGGTTGGTACGCCAATAATAAGGAAAGCTAAGGATTGGGAAGAGATTTCGTTTCAGTAAGAACCACTAGCGCTGAGCCCCCTTCCCCCAGGGGGGAGGGGAAGGAGTACTCCCATATAACGAATGATCGTAATAATAAGAATTGTGGATGGTATCTATTTTATTCATGGCAACCCAAATCAAAATAGTGTTGTTAGGCTGCGTTCATAATGTATGGCAGAGAGGGGGGGCAGGTGAAATTGAGGGGGTATCAGGAAAATTTTGGTAGGAAAAAGGGGGGATGGGCAAATTTTTATCAGAAAAATGGGGGTGATGCACAATTTTTGGAAGAAGCTACTTGCTTAGGGGGGATCGTATTTTTTTGCATGAACTTTAAGGGGGTGTTGAGAATTATTCTGGACATTTCAAATTTTCATATGCCCCCCCCTCTACCATACATTATGAACGCAGCCTTATGGAGGAAGAATGGGGGTGGGAAGGTTTACAGCCCTTATTTGATTCACCTCTGAAACTGTGACTGAAAATAAACTTTGACAACCAACATTCTGTAAGGTTTTCGCTGCAACGATTTCACATAATTATCTAATAATCTAAAATTCTCAAAATGATTCATAATCCATAATGCATCATGTTTATCAGGGTCAAAAATAATGGCCAGTCCATCATTGTTCATGATGACTAGCCGAATTGGTTTTAGCACAAACATACCTCATTTCTGGCTTAATGTGAAATGACCAGCAATTGAGGCAAAGATTTGAATGGAAAAGTTCCAGTTTAGGCTGGACATAGTCCAATAACTGGCTCTTTTTTCAGCCTTGWTTTTCAAACTGAGATAAGGTCTATGGTATTAAAGCAACAAAGCATAAACTGCTCTAGGACTATGCCATCTAAATATCAGCTTACCATCATCATTCCGTTTTTCTCCAGCAATAATATAGTCTTTAGAGTTAAAATTGACAGCAGATTCCTCCATCTTGTAGTTTGCCCTATCTATCATTTCTTTATGAGTACCTAGTTCAACTGCAAAAAATAGGTTGTACTATTGGTTATGTATTGTGTAGTCTTTGTAATAAAGCTAACCCATGCAAGTACTGCATCCTACTAGTACTTTCTATTATTACCCAACTATACTCAGTATAGTACAAATATTGCAGGAGAAAGCCTGGAGCAAGTACAAATATCCTGTGTTATTCATACTCTAGGTTATTTTGTACAGTAAAAGACAGTTTTTGAAAACTAATTAAAAGAAAAACATTTATTTTGAAGCCTCCTTTTGGGAAAAAGTAAAATCCATTGGATAAGAAATACCGTATTTACTCGAATAAGTGCCACAATTGTAGTGAAAAAGTTAATAAGCACCGCCCTCAAATAAGCGTTACAGCTTCAGTGTGGTGCTTATTGGAGTATTTCCATAAGATGATAAAAATACACTGTAATCGCTGTAATGCGGTTCTAAGCCAGCACTGGCAATAYGTTTTCATCAAAAGTGTTGTCAAAAGCTTCGCATTCTTTAGTTCTTGTGTTAAGGCTGTATTCTTTGCCGCTACAATCAAAATATTTTGTCTTTGTGGCATGAGACTTTTAAATAAGAGCCGCCCTCTAATAAGCACAGCCCTTGAATAAGTGAATAAGAAGTGAAAAATTTAATGAGTGCCACCGTGCTTATTCTAGTAAATACGGTAATTTATTAGACATTTTAAGGTGCAATATGAGTGCATATTCTTTCTCTTCTTTGTATTACCCTGACTCRCAAAAATATCTACCAATACTGCACCCTAAAATGTGTAATAATTGTAGAAGCGCACAGCAAAAGTAATAGTACTTAACTCCAGTGGCAGACCCAAGATTTAAATGGAATTTTGCATTTTCAGAGAATCAAGGATGGTGTATGTATGTATGTCAGGGTTGTAGCATCTGGTACAGTTGGTACAGTTTCAACCGGGCCAACTTTCGGGAAAAAGATATAAGAAAGATTTAAAAAATGTGAGAATAAGCGAAAACCCTCAAAAACCTGACCAATCAGAAATTTGTGGCTACAGCCCTGTATGTATGGCATACAATATGTTAGTAAAGTTGGTTGAGTCTCTCCATTTAGTTTGGGTTTTTTCTCCTAGTTCTCTAATAATCAAGCTAAATTCCAATTCTGTGAGTCAGCCATATACCCTGACTTTCATCAGCACAGTTTTTTCAGGGTATGGATAAAAATTTTTTGAAGGGGGTTGTGACACTTAATATAACATTGGCCATTAAAACTAGATATGCACACTTATACTAACCTTGTTTATTTTCTTTATTATTCTGATCCCCATCATTTTTAAGTTGTTTACTTTCAATGGGTGCTTTTGTCTCCCCATTCTTATCCTGTAATAGTAATGGTTGATCATTGAGGGTTTTTTCACTCTTTTTGTCTGTTATATACTCATTACTAGGTATAGGTAGGTGGCTGGTTTGTCCTTGATATTTGTTTGAGAAGGGACATGCTGAATCTGTGGAAAATGAACAATTTGTAAATTAATGTACGATAATTAACATAAAAAAGAAAATGATAAAAAATCATGAAAAAATCATGAAAAAATAAAATTAATTACAAGCAGAAAGTGGAATACAGCATCAATAATACCATCAATTGCCTGATTGATGTTTTAAAGGTTGGATTCTAATAGTCTTTTATTAATATTTATGGACATATGAACAGCATGAAAGTGAGGGTATACTATACAGGTATGTGCTGCCCTATAAGGTATGGTTCTTTGGCTTTTGGGTCTGGAATAGGGTATCATTTTTGGACATTTTGTCTGGGATAGGGTATCATTTTTGTCTGGGATAGGGATAACGATTTGGTCATTTTTGTTTGGCGAATAGGCTACTCTTTCTGCCGGCACAAAAACAATAAAAACGTTAGTAAATATTGATTGCAATC